TACAAGAACTAATCTCACAAATAGCAATTCAGATCATACTCTTGCTTGAAGAATTTTCTAGGTGATAGGGTATATTAGACAACTGTTCACAGTTTAGACTTAGGATTTATTTGGTACTCAATCAGAATCTTTATCACCCAATCATTAAAGCATTATTTAAATGCTTTATTTTTACAAACCCATTAGTTAGGGTGGGAAAAGAAATGTTTTGAGTTGTTTTTATTTGTAATGACCCTTCTCCCAGCTTAAAAGTTGGGTTTGTAAAAGAAAGATGCTGTACTGAAGCAAATGCTTTTAGCTTAAAGCATTTGCTTCAATACAGCATCTTTCTTTTAAACAGTTCCACCATTAACTACTTTTTGAAGACCTGCTAGTTTGCACCTGCTTCAATATTTTAAAAACTATATAACAAGTTCAAAAAAAGAAAACAACCACACTAAAAAGCAGCTAAGAGCCAGCTAATTCTACCCCAAGCTTTGAAAATAAGCACCATTTGCATGTAACATAACCATCAATGGAAGGACCCTCTCAGAATACAAAATATTAAGACCACTATGTCAAATAAGACTTCCTCAGAACCTATCTTCTTGACACAGCATTGTTAGAGAGCCTGGAGCATTTTACTGTACAAAGTCCTAAAAGAAAAGACTAAACAAAACAGACTTGTACACAGGGCAGTTTTTCCCCCGATTTATGCACCAGTGCCTTCCCCATTTTCCTCTAAACATAGAATGCATTAGCCAGCAGTCTCAAATTTAGGAAAGCACCACCACAAACCACTTCCTGAACCTCTGGGCTCCATTTTTCAAGAATCAAAGTCTGCAGGATTTTCTGGGAGGCAGGGAGGGGGGAGACAAGGAGGAAAAACTCTAGAAAGGAGCAAGTGGAAGATATTTCATACAGGACTTACCATATCTTAACTTCTAACCAATCCAACGTTTTTCTCCCCTCTTTTTCTTAGCTGAGCCAAGGAAAGGTTTTATTTTGGTTCAGCTCCAGCATGCGTGTACTTGGTGTGGAAGGAGGAATGCATCAGCCAGAGTTAGCTAAACAATCATTTTTAAAAAGGGGGGGGGGAATAACGAGGAGGCCAAACTGGACTGGCTTCCTCTCACTTCCTTCTCAAAGTAGACGCAACAGACTAGGAGCACGTGGCAGCACTTCACGGGGGGAGGGAGGAGGAGAGGAGAGCAGACGGTGGCCCGAGGGGGCCAATTACATCACACAGCGTTAATAACTGGGGAGGTAAAATAGAGTACGGATTGGGCCGTTACCTGGGAGCCGCCCTGAGCCGCTCTCTGCGCACTGCCGCGGTGCTGGGCACACCTAAACGGTGCCGTGCCCCATGGTGGTGGGGGAGGCTCCGGCTCAGGCCGAACTCGTTCCACTTCCGTTCCGCGTAATCTTCTTAACGCCGCCGCCATTATAGATTCTTAATTCTTAGCCTTTATTTCCCCCTCGTAAAGCAGTGCGCCTGCGCACCCAGCAACCAATCACAAATATCAACCCGCCTCTTCGGCTTCGATTGGCTATTTACGATATTCCCGGATGTGGGGAGAGCTATACGGTTTTGTTAAGGTAATAGAGGCTACAGCTGACGTCAATAAGCGAGGACCGCTCCCGAACGTCACCGCGAAAAATATCCAATCAGCGAACTGGATTAGGAAAAACTTTGCATTAACTCTTAAACCGCCGGCGAGAAGAATTCGTGTTTTATTTAGTGCCCGGCTGAGAAATTCGCCTCCATTTTTTTCTCCTGTCACTTGTCATTCATTTCGTTGTCGTTTCATTGTGCTATTATAGTTTTTTGCTTGTAATTGTTTTTTATATATTCTTTTTCGTTGTTGTGCACAAGAGTCACTTTGTGTGAGATAGGCAGCTGTATAAATACGATAAATAAATAAATACATTTCAGAGAGTAGAATTTGCTTTCAAACTTTATTTCGAAAAGATCAACATTGTCGTGGGGGGAGTTTAGTTTCTTCTACAAGTTTAGTAACAAGGTGGTCCCTAGATTGGAGGTCAAATGGAGAGTCCCCATCAAAAAAAGATTGAAAAACTGAGGATGGGGCAGAAATGAAATGAAATAATATTGCCCAGATTGCATAATTGTCCACACACTTGGTAGAAAACTTTGAAAGGGATTTTATATCCAGGAATATTTTAAATTATTATCTTTTAAACAGGTTTAAAATATGTATTATTTGTCTGTACGTATTAAGGAAACTCAGCAATGGTGTTCGGTTAACCCAGTTCAGAATGGTATTTGAACCCATCTTGACTGCTACACATATATCTGGAGGAAAGCAGGTTAGGGAAAGCTGCATTTTCAATCAAAATCTTCTTAGTCTTAATAAAGTTAACAACGATAAATATAGGACAAAGGGCATGCAAATCTTTCAGGATGCTTTTTCCCCTTCTCCGACCTTATCCTAAAATAAGTAGCATACATACACAGAATATAATAGAATTTAAAATAGAACAGAGCCAGTTTGGTGTAGTAGTTAAGGCATCAGGCTACTGGGAGAACATGAGTACTAGTCCCGGCTTAGGCACAAAGCCAGCTAGTGACCTTGGGCCAGCCCCTCTCTCTCAGTCCTAGGAAGAACTCAGTGGCAAGCCACTTCTAAAATCTTGCCAAGAAAACCGCAGGGACTAGTCCAGGCAGTTGCCAGGAGTCAAAAACTAGAATAAGACCAAAAGGGTAAAATGAATGTGCAATTAAAACCCAAGGTCACCCAGTGATCTTCAGGCCGAGTTAAGATCCAGCAAGCTTACCAATACAGTACATCACGATTCCGGGGCTGGGGTCACAGCGCCTTCAGTGATGGTTGACTGAACAAACTGCATCAGCTGGACTCCCACAGGCTTCAGACCACCTTAGGGCAGGGTTCCCACCACGCACCCAGGGAGCCGTTGCACGTGGTTTGCGGGTCCCGCTGCGGCCCAGCGCAACTCCTCCTGGGGCCAGGGGCTCATAGCCACGGAGGGGCTCCGTCGTTCTTAACATCTGCTGTTCTTCCTTCGCCTTTGAGATTTCTTTTTTTTTTTAATTTTTAAAAAATAATCATTTTTTTATGTTTTATAGTTTTGTTGTACGCCGCCCAGAGCCGCTCTGCGTGGGATGGGCAGTTGTATAAATGGGATGAGCAAACCCAGGAGGACACCAGCCACCCTAAACGGAGACGCGCAGCTGCTGATGGGGCCCGCCGCGCGCAGCCCTCCATCCATCCATCCATCCATCCATCCC